TCTTTTTCTATTTTCATAAGAATTTACAGCATTTTTAGTAGATCCATGTAATTTGTATTTAAAGAATGTGTGATTGAAAATGATATAAAAATAAATAAATAAATTTTACGAAACAAGCGCTTAGCATTAATTCTCAAAATTGCGATTATTGTACCTAAACTAGGCACCTTCTATACAAATATTGAGAGTGCACCTTCTGATAAAATTGTATTATGTAGATCACAATATATAGGACAAGTAGGATTAAACTTATCTTGTCATTTTGGCCGCAGATGTAAAAATAGGTTGAAAATTTAATAAACCGGCCAATTTCGATCAATTTTCTCATAGATATGTTGACCCCAAAAAATGTTGCCAACAGATGTCGGGCTCACTTATGCACATGCAAACTTGATCCAACACGCTAATGTCGATAGACGGTCATGATGGCTCCAAGTAACGGGCGTGGGAGTGGCTTAAAGGCACGAGACGTTTCCGTTCAGGCCACCGGCAAGAAAGATGTTACACGATTGTATAAGAAACCAATCGACAAAATATGATTTGTAGTAGAAAATATGTTATAGGGATCACTGTTGAAATGAGAGAAAGGTTGCTCCCAATATTTAGTTTTTTCTTTAGAATTGCATCATCCCCTTTTGCGTTACATGGTGGGGGTATTTATAGTGTTACAACTCCATTGGTGACCTTTGGATCAGCCTACACGTGGCCTCATCTCCTTGATTAGGATATCAAACCCTAGCACTCAAGTTGACTCTCCTAACTTTACAAAACATTAAATGCTCTTACATTGACAAGACATGACACAAATAAACTTTACATAAAAGTCACGTCAATCATTCCCCAAAAATCTCCATCATAAGTGAATCTTCGCATGTGGGTCTTCAATGGCTACTAAGGAGCCTCGGGCGATGTGTGTTCGTCGAACCGTGGCTCATCATTAACAGCAGTGGCATCGGAATGATAGTGAGGGCCTCGGAACCCACATCTGAAGCTAGGAAAATATGTTTTGATTTGACTAGGCTGGTCCCACCTCTAAAATACGGTGCCACGTGTCGCTTCCACCTTTTGACCCATAACAAGATATTTTCAAAAAAAAAATGGAAAAGAACAATTTAACTGTGATGTATCTTTTCTTATACAACATTTCACCTTGATAAATATAATAAACATCGTAGGCATTCTATAACTTAAAAAAAAAAAAAAAAAAGAACAATTATCTATATTTTACTCGTTCTGGGATTTTTTTTTTTTAAGTTCACCCAATCGTTTCAATGAAACTCGAACTCAGGCTATTAACTTGGTATACTTGGTTCTTACCTTTTGAGTATGCTTTGATCCCTTCTACTTGTTTTAATTTAGCCCTTGTTTGACAATCATTATTTGGAAAATATTTTAAATTGTGAATTTTAAGAGGAACGTGCGAGTAAAAAGTAGGCCAAATATTTTGAATTTACATGCAGAATATTTTATTATCTGAATGTATTGTTAAAAATGAATATATAGAAAAAAAGAGTTTTCAAATGATGATTGTAAAATCGGGGCTTAATATCGAGTTGAATTTAAATTATTATTAAAACATGCATGCATGCATAGAATAGAATAGACACATACAATGGTATGAAGCCAAAAGACCCCCAACATCAAATAATGTAAACAACCATAAACAAATCCACTACATTTTTGGACAGCTTCCTTTTTTTTTCCACAAAAACTGGAACCTTCTAGATCTTATTTTCGTCCGTTATTTTTGTTCTCGTTCCCATTATTATGTACAATTATATTATATATGTTTAGATCTCATTTTTGTTCGTTCTTTTTTATCCTTTGAATCTTCTTCCGTGTCTCCTTCATTCTCCACCCTTCATCGAGCAAACATAATCTCATCAAAACATAATTGATGTCTAACCCAGAAAGACTAATAAGTCAACTTCGACCCCACAAATATAAAGATGGGTGGTGTTAAATCAATCTCATTTTAGACTTGCATTGTAATATAGCGCAACAAATAATTTTTTTAATATTATTGTGAATTTTTCATCTTTGGTCCCAAACCTCTCGCTCTCGTTGTAAAGTTAGTATCTAAGTTTTGGGAAAAAAATAAGTTGATCTCCAATTGTTTCTTATAATTGCAAAAGTAGTCTACAATATATGAGATTTTCACTAAATTATCATACAGTTCTAGTGATAACATATCATGCTTTAAATTGTTTTGGGCACAAACTTAAATTGGACAGTAAAGACTAACTTTATAAAGTTAAATATGAGTGAAAAGTGCAAACATTGAAATTAGACTTTATTCTTCAAATCCAATTAGTGTCGAGAAATTTGAAGCGTTACTATGAAGGTCACATGAGCATCTAATAAAGATTTGAATAATTATTTCCGTTATTGGAGATCAATTGCAATAAAAAACTTGATAAGTAATTTGCTTCTTTTCAAACATTGGAGACTAATTTGCTACCTAAGGAATAGGTTGCGGATCAACGGTGCAATCTCACGTTTCTTTCATTCATTCTCGAACTTACCTTGTAGTTTAGGACACATATTAATTTTAGGGATAATTGCAGCAAAAGTCCCAAACCTTTAAAACGCTAATAGACTTTTCCCAAAATCTTTGATTTGTTGCATCTGTCACACCTAACCTTTTGAAACGTTGCAAGTGAGGCCCTTTTGGATGGTTTCCATCTAAAATAATGTCAGTCAACCCAAAAAATTGATTTTGACCACATTTTAATCAATTTTAAAAGGGCAAAATGATAATTATCTATTAATCACATTAAATAATTAAATAACAAACAAAAAAATGAAATTTTTTTTTAAAAAAAATCAACCCCAAGCCAAAACCATTAGTTCTTTTCTTTTGCCTCCAAGCATTAAACTCCAAGGGCAGCAGCATGTGACATCAAAATTGCTCGTAAAAAGCTATGCAAGTCCAAGAAATTACACTCCGTTTCTAGATTCAAGTCCGACCCATCTTTGTAAAGATTCAGGTTATTTATTTATTTATTTTTGTCGAATTTGAAGGTCCATGAGTTGTATGAGATGAGATTGAGAAGGAAACTGTAGTTTAAGAAGAGAAAACAATCCAATCAAAGACGGAAATGCAAATCTTTATTGGGTTTTCTGAGTTTATTGTCTATCTTTTTTCTTCAATTGTTTATGCGATGGTGAGAGGTTGGCTAATTGAATAGATAAAAGAGAATAAAGGAAAGAAGGGAACATAAAAAGAGTTGTGCAATTGATTTTTTTTCTAATTCCAGCTTTCTGTCTATGCATACTCTTTATCAATGGTGGGGCATTGTTAAACAATTCTTTCTTTTTCTTTTTCTGTTTTCACGAGAATTTACCGCCCTTTTAGTAGATCCATGTAATATGTATTTTATATTCTTATGTTAGGTGCTCACGGATTCGAAAACTGTGAGGTGCTTGAACCATGCTATTGAAAAGAGTTGGCTTCTCTGCGTGGAAGAAATAGTTTCTAAGAAAATTCTTCTCCCAATGCTTCTGGTTTGGGGTGGGGTTCACTTTTTTTTTTTGTTATTTAATTATTTAATATGATTAATAGATAGTTACCATTTTTTCCTTTTAAAATTGATTAACATAAGATCAAAATCAATTTTTTAGGTCAATTGACGCTATTTTGAATGGAAACCAACCAAAAAGGCCTCACCTACAACGTTTCAAAAGGTTAGGGGTGACGATCGAAACAAATCAATTTTTTGTGAAAAGTTTGCAAGTGTTTTAAAAATTTGGAATTTTTGCTGCAATTATCTCTTAATTTTATACGCTTGTCATTATATTATCAAGTATTATAACATACAAAGTGTAAGGATTTTTTTATGAAATAATTTGTTGAACAACCAAAGTAAAACACAATCACAAAATGTAATTAAAATAAAAACGCAATAACACCAAAGTTGTCGACCCAATTCAGCCAATTGGCCTAGAGGAGGGGGTTGAGGGATTGTAGCCCGTTCCACTAGTACAAAATAGTCTTCCAAGAGATAGTATAGTGTACATCAAACCACTCAAAACCTCTGATTTGATCATCGATTTGTATGGATCTACAAAACCAAGACACAAATCCTTCACAACAATCAACCCTAATCAATCCTAACCAAACCTTAGAACAACACAGACTTCCCACGGCCTCGAGTTACTGTAACAAGACAAATATTACAGGATTAATCACAAAAACTAGAGTTACACAGAAGGATTTCAACCAGAAGAAGAAGAAAAAAAACCCTAAAAAACTAAGAGTCTAGAGAGAAATAGAAGAGACAACAGAAAAATCAAAAGTGCCGCTACAGTAACCGTTCAGCCTAATTAAATGAAACGTTTATACCAAGAATAAATCTCAGCCATCCATTTGATCAAACAGTTAATATCCTTCCTCAACTAACACAATCCATGCCACAACCGAAGAACCATTTGGAGGTTGCCACATGGGCTGTCCATAATCCAAATAATCAGCCAAGGCACATTTCAGAAATAACACCAATTTAATAGTGTTTTGAGAAGCACACACTTTCAATTCTTCACCATGGTTCTCAATAATACCTTACTCTAGCTGGTTGCTAAATTTACACATGGAAATTACAGTCCATCATCATCGCTCAATACCTGCAACAAAATTAACCTGTGTCAATATGTAGCATATACAAACAGGATTTAAATTTTGTAACCGATAAAACTTTTGTTCCCATATGTGAGGGATTTTTATCAGTATGAATTTTGCACAAATTAGCTTCACATGTAGAGATTTTTTCCCTAATAAAATGATACTTAACCTCAATATGTTTTGATCTTTCATGATATACATGATTTTTGCTAAATAAAAGTGCACTCTGACTGTCAGCAAACATAATGAGAGTTTCATGCACAAAGTTCAATTCATTTAAAATTCCTTTTAACCATATGCATTCTTTCACAACCTCAATAATGACAACATATTCAGCTTCAATGCTAAATAATGTTACCATTGATTGCAATTGTGATTTTCAAGTTATGCAATTGTCGCCAAGTGTAAAAAAGTAAGCAGTGGTAGATTTTATGTTATATTTATCACCAGCAAAATCAGTATCCACATAACCTTTTAAGGTTAGCTTATCAGTTCTTTTTTCATACACAAGTCCAAGACTTAAAGTACCAACAATGTATCTTAACAGCCATTTCAAACCTGCCCAATGGGGCTTACCAGGGTTGGACATAAATCTGCTAAAAAAACTCATTGCATAAGTTAAATCAGGTCTGGTTGTAATCATGGAGAACGTAACAGAACCTATAGCATTAGAATAAGGTATGTTTCTCATCTCCCTTAATTCCTCCTCTGTTTTAGGAGAGTGTACACTAGAAAGATTCATGTGAGCAGCTAAGGGAACATTTACAGATTTTGATCCTTTCATGGCAAACTTAGTTATAACTTTGTTTAGATAGACTTCCTGAGAAACAGTCAACCTGTTTTCAGGCCTATTTCTTTTTATAACCATTCCCAAAATATTTTTAGAATTCCCTAAATCTTTCATATCAAACTGATCTTTCATTCTTATGATTTCAGATTTGCTTGAACTAGCTAGAATCATGTCATCTACATAAAGAAGCAAATAAATCTCAAAGCCTCTCTTTGAGTTATTATAGTACAAACAAGCATCATAGTCACTTCTTTTAAATCTATCTTAAGTACATAGGCATCAAATCTTTTGTACCACTATTTAGGACTTTGTTTAAGTCCATACAGTGATTTTTCGAATTTGTACACAAAATCAGCTTTATCCTTCACCTTAAAACCTTGAGGCTAACTCGTGTAGATATTCTCTTCCAATTCCCTATGTGGGAATGTAGTCTTAACATCAAGTTGTTCTAATTTCCAATTGAAATGAACAATTATACTAAAATCAGTCTAATAGTCTTATATTTAATCACAAGAGAGAATATTTCATTGTAACCAACTCCCTACTTGTGAGTAAACCCCTTGGCCACCAATCTGGCATTATACCTTGGAGGATCACGATGATTATTTCCTTCTTTAATTTTGTAAATCCATTTACATTGTACTATCATATGATCTTTAGGTTTGTTAACCAACTTCCAAATTTTATTCTCAATTAAGAATTGCATCTCTTCTTCCATAGCCCTTTTCCAATTTTCAAATTTTGGACCATTCACAACTTCTTCAAAATAAACAGGTTCAGAATGTTCAATGGCTTCACCTGAAACCAAGGCAAAATCAGTCAAGTTTTGAGATTCATATCTAGGGTTAGGTCTTATTTCCTTAATTTCCCTATCTCTTGTAAGTTGGTAATCTTGAATAGAGGTATTATCAGTTGGAAGGATAAACTCAACAGTTTCAGTGTCATTTTGAGGTTTATCCTTCTCAAAAGGTTCAGTAACAGGTTCATGTTGCTTAGCCAAAGGTGTTTGACTTCCAATTTCTACAGGTTGAGATATGTTAAATTTGGTTAACTTCACCTTTCTCAGAACACTCTTACCATTTTCAGATTCAACAACCTTTTCAAATTCATGTTTTAGGCGTGGCATTTCAGATTCATTAAAGACTACATCTCTACTATTAATAATCTTAATGCATTGCACACCCAAAACCCATAACTTGTACCCTTTTACCCATTCAGGGTAACCTAACATCACACATTTAATTGCTCTAGGCTCTAACTTTCTCTCAGATTGATGTGCATAAGCAACACGTCCAAAAACTTTTTTGTGTGTTAGACTTGGTGGTCTCCCAGTCCACAGTTCTTGTGGAGTTTTAAAGTCCACAAAACTGGATAGAGATCTATTGATCAGATAAGCAGTAGTAGTAGTGACTGTCTTTCCCCAGACACCTAAACCATAGTTAATTAACATGCATCTTAACTTGTTCACTAGGGTCCTATTCATCCTTTCAACTATCCCATTTTGTTGGGGGTGTTAGTTTGACAGTTCTATGTCTCATTATTCTCTTTTGGTTGCAATAATGGTCAAATTCAAAGTTACAAAACTCAAGCCCATTATCAATTCTTAGAGTTTTTACCATCTTAAGCCAAGTTCTAAACCCAAACCTTTCTGGAATAATCATTTACAAGAGACAAGAAATATTTATTTCCTCCAAAGGTGGGATGTTTTTCAGGCCCCCATAAGTCTACATGAACATAATCTAATGGTCTGTTTGTACTATGTGAACTAATTTCAAAGCTCACTCTGTGAGATTTACCCAACACACAGGTCTCACAAAACTTAAAGGTTCAATTTCATCTTTTCCAAGTAGATTTTGGTTACTTAGATACTTTAAGCCTTTGTTACAAGATGACCCATCCTATTATGCGTTACAAGATGACCCATCCTATTACACCATAGTTTAGATTTGTTTTCAGTAACAAAGAATAGAGTGGAATCAGGAACAGGGATTGTATTGCCTTCAAAGTAGTACAATCCATTTCTCTTTGGTCCTTTCATGACAATTAGAGATCCTTTCATAATTTTCAGAAGCTGATTGTCAGATTTAAAAACATGTCCCTCATCTTCAAAATCCTTTAAAGAGATAACGTTTCTTTTGAGATTAGGGACATATTTGACATTCATAATTGGTCTTACAATGCTATCATGTATTTTAATGGCAATTCATAATTGGTCTTACAATGCTATCATGTATTTTAATGGCAATGTCACTAATCTCAATAACAGTCTGAGAATTATTATCTCACATATAAACCTTCCTAGGTTCTACATCCTTATAGTTATAAAACCAAGATTTTTTGGGACTCATGTGAAAGGTACAACCTGAATCTAATATTCAATCCTTATTAGTTTCATCACTTGTTACAGTCATCACATGTAGGCTATCTAATTCAGATCCTACAGTAGTATTACTCAGTTCCCCATTGTTCTGATCTTTTTGTTTCTTTTTCCAATCAAAACAATCCTTTTTAAAGTTCCCTAATTTTTCACAGTGACAGCACTTTTTATTACTCGTCTTTAGATTTTGATTTCTCTTTAATCCTTTTATGTTGAAAAGTATTTTCTCTATTCTCAGGTCTTTCTCTAACAAACATACTCTCCTCTCTAGAGTTAGATTTAGGTTCCTTCCTAACTTCTAACTCTCTGGCTCTTAAGGCATCTATCACTACAGCTTGCGTCAATTTATCCCTTGAATATTTTATTCAGGCAAAGAATTCAATAAAATCACAGCAAGGTCTTCAACATCAAAGTCCTTATCATTGTATGCTAGACTCTTAACATTGATGCTAAAGTCACTCAAGTTCACTTTTAAATCCTTTCCAGGGTCCATTCTGAAACTAAACTGTTTTTCCAAAAGATAGATTTTATTTGGCAAAGTTTTAGTCAGAAACATGGTGTAAAGTGCAGTCCATAAAGCTTTAGCAGTTTTGGCTTCATCTACTTGTCTAACAATATTATCAAATAAGTGCAAGATTATTGAACTATATGCAATTTCATTCATCTCTTCAATTTCATCAAGTATAGCTTTAAGTTCATCATAGAAAGTTTCAGAATCATCAAGGGCTTTGACAACCCTTGTTGGACCAATATGACTCTCATTTTCTGCTTCCATATTGAGTAACCACTTTTTCGTCGAATTGTGATAACTTGACATTCGAACCCATTACATATTATGTAAAAGGATGGTTTGTAGTCATGGACATAGTATGATCTTCAATTACAGATCAACTATTAGGTAGAAAAGGTTTTCCAAAAAAATTCAATTTAAAACAGTCGGTGATACAGAAATTGAAGCAGAAACCCATAAGTTTGTTCAAGAATTGTGTTCGCGTGAAACCCGCAAGCGTAAGGGATCATTGTATAAGTAATAAGATGTGTGAGTTAAAAGTATCGTTCCCACGAGGAATAAGGTCTAATTTGTAGTTCAATAGCTACTATTAAATTCGAAGTGTGGTAATAATAAAAAAGAGATGATTTGTATGTAATCTATATTAATCCTAAACTAACAAACAAATGAAATATTTATTTATTATGTAAATGTTTGTATTGGAATCGTGAATCCCCCTATTGCCATTTAATTCAATTCTTAATTCGTAATATAGTAAATTCAGGAATTCAAGACAATCGATAATCCACTGTTATTCAATATTCTTTTCTAACATATATTAAACATATGTTTAACATGACCCGATCATATTCTTAGTCCAAATTCATATGAAAAATATACATCGATTCACAGGATTTATTACATATGATTACACATACCATAGACATTATTCCTAATACCTATTGTCCATGTGTTGATTTTGCCGCGTTCTAGACTTATTGTGAGTATTCCTACACTACAACAAGTAATTTACTATCTAATTGGTGATCAAGCAATCAAATAATTCAATGGGAATGCAAAATCAATCAAGAAAAATTAAGAAGTACTAAATTAATTGTCTCGAATCAAAACAAATAAGTAATATGGTTCATCATTCATCAAATACAATGAAAAACTAGTCTAACATTCTTACAATTAAATTACACAAGAATAATTGAGAAAACATCACCCGAAAATAAGAAAGATGGAAGAAGTAGGAAAAAGCCACGTTCTTGATGTGAATCTTGAATTCGGATGAAGAATCTTCAATATCATATGCAATTCGCATTGATTCCACATTGTTAGCCATATTCTTCGCCTCCAAAATATGTATAATATAGAGATTTTTAGGTTTAGGGAGGTTCTCCATATGTATGCTGTTGTTCTCTATTTGTAGGAGTCGAAAATTGATTGAAAATCACGTCCAAATTGATTTCCAAAAGAGTTCTAATCGAATAAGAAAAGTTGCTTTCGCGTGTGAATTTTTTCGTCTCTGCACAGCAGTCCGTATTTTAGTCATAACTTTCTTTCTTGATATCCGATTGGGACGATTCAAAGTGCGTTGGAAAGATAACTCAAATGGGTACAACTTTTCTAGAAGTAGATTTTTTCCAATTCGGACGTGTACTATGTCAAAAAGGGATCTCAATTTTCGGCTAAAAATTTGAAATATCTCTTGTGCTATTGGAAATTGACTTTGATAATATTTTGATCATATTCCATTACTTTTAAAATTCTAATTCCATCAAATTGTCTCCTAACAAATTTCAAAGTATCTTCTTGAGATTCAAATCAACCATTGAGTATTTGTAATTTAATCCTCAAACTTTGGATTTCGCCATTTTTCGCTTCATTTTGCTTCTTTTTCTCCAATTATTCATCAAATATCGAGTTTTACCTACAAGATGCAACGTAACGCAACTTAGGTCATAATTTGCCAAAAGAACAATAAAATTCTATAATTTCAAGTCCCGTACACTTATCAAATTGTATTAGTATCAGTGATTAACGCAATGATAACAATTATATGTCAAGAATATCATAAATACAACATGCTAACCAAGATAGACATATACATATGCAAATCAAACCTAATTTCTATACAGAAACAATATTTCGTGCATATATCATCTATCGTGCACACCAATAAAAAAAAAACTTACTAGAGATATGAAACACTCTTACCAAATACTGTTGTAAAACAGTAAAGAAGACCCTCAAGAACCCTAATTAGGAATCAAGAATCCACTCAATCATCGGAGATCG